CAAATGAAATATCAAAATCAAGAAGAATACATCTGTGAATGCATGAAAATCTGTAGACTTACAAACTGGAAATTTCTAAAACGAAAAATGATCAGAGTTATGATGTCACTGCAGTATGACCACTGCTTTCAACTCAGCGAAATGCTAGATACTTCACTTACCCTAGTCAGGTGGTTAAAATATGTAAGCCAGACAGAGTGAAAGCAATTAAGAAACACTAGTAAAAAAATGTCTCAAGTGGAATCTGAAAAAAGGAAAGGAGCTAAGGAGGAGAGACACAAGAACATTTAACATTAACACATGTGCGATACCAAGAAATACACTAGGCAGCTAAACAAGACTTCAGTGAGGTCCCTTCCCAGTGACTCCACTTTAAATGGGTATACCACACTGGCAAGAAAGATCACTTTGTCTGCAAGGGAGATAGCCATGACTGCCAAGAGAAGAAGTCAATGTGATATGTGTTATTTTGAGAGACGATGGGAAAAAGCTTTTATTGAAAGGTATCTTTTGGGGTGGGGGACGGGAGGATGACAGTGTAATTATAATAAAAAGTAAATCTTCCAAAAATATCAGCTATGGGCCAGATGATCTCTAAGTACTTGACCTACATTAATTTAGTCCTCACAAGGATTATATGACATAGAAACTATGCTTACTACATTTTACAGATAAGGAAACAGATACAGGAAAGTGGACTTGCCTAGAATGATACGGAATAGCTGGCTTTGCAACAAGTTACTACAGGGAAGGAAAATTCTTTTAAAGATTAATCTTTCCATCTATCCAGGATCCTGCTAGGTGTCTTGTACCACATCCAGAAAAATAAAAATATGGTAAGACTAGCAGAATAATAATTTTTAATTAAAACTAAAAGAGAAAGGATTTGGATTAGTTTCCATAAAAACTTCCCAAATGAAAGAATATGCAGGAAGAAGTTCATTGAGCAATACTACAGAATGTCCTTCATAGGGATCAGAACTAATGGTGTTAAAGAATCCCTTCAAGTAGGGAAGGGATTAACCTAGAAATCTGTTCTAGGCCTGTAAGTTATATTCAGCTTTAATCAAGGAAAGAAATATGTGAGTCTCTCCTTGTGTATAACAGCTAGTCTGAGCAGAGACTGTGCTTCTATTGACACTATAATCACCACCACTTTCTTGGCATATAACATGTACTCAGTATTTACTTGTTGGATGAATGGATGAGAAAGAATGAAAGAATATGAAAATGGCATGTTTGCGGAAGTTTCTAGATAATTTGGAAAGTCGAGGTAAGACTTTGATTCAGTAGAGATCAGAATAAGAAAGCATGACTCCAGCACTGATGTCAGCACTGAACAAGAGTTTGACTTGAAAGACCTCAAAGTAAAGAAAGTGAGGTAGAAAATAAATGATAAAGGCAGCTGCAAAAATTAAAGAAAAATTAAAGATTAAAAATTTAGACCTATAGAAGTTTCTGAACAGACAGCAAGATGTTCGTGTTTTCTCAATACAATGTTAATGAAAATAACACCAACATGGGAAGACTTTAAGTTGTGTATATAATAATGATCAAAACAGAGGCAGATAACAGGTAAGAGCACTTCTTGTGCACCAGGCACTGGATGAAATGTTCTATGTGTAAAGGACAGTGTTTAAGCACAAGCACTCAGATTGACTCCCACCTCCTTCTCCAAATAACCTTGATCAAGATACTCAATATCTGTATCTAGGAGTGCATGTTTTATTATCTATTAGATAATAATAGCATCTACCCCCAGGCATGAAGTTGCAAAGATTAAATGAGAATGTGTAGGGGGAGAGAAATGGGAATAAGGGAAAAAATAAACTTCAGAGTTCCAATTTCACGTAAAGACAGACATAATCAGTGCAGCCTGGTGGGTGTGACAGGTAAGCTGAGGAGAGCAAGTTATGCACAAAAAAATGGAAACAGAACCTGTCCATCCCACAAGTCTGGGTTTACTATGTCTTTGTGTCATCCCTTGCATTGTACTTTTTTCTGTCCTTTAATTATATTATTTTTTAAAATTTCATTAATTTCAAATGTTTGTTTTCATAAATGTCTCCATCACTGAGCCACAGGTTTCTTGAAGCTAGGGGATATGTTTTAAATAGCTTTTATTGCTGCCACAGAATCATGCTTGATACACACAGTTGATTGTGCTAGAATGATTACATGAACAATAGGAAAAGATCACATGAGAAAATTTTACATGAGTGTGAATTACAGGACTGTTTTTAGGTAATCATTTACAAACACCATTATAAAAGAGAAAACTGATGAGAACATAGAATTACATGTGTGGGGGTATTTATATATATTATATAACACACACATACACAAACAACTATCAGTTGCGTGTGCAAGCTTGTTATTAAGATCTCCCCAAAATGTCTTTCACTTATTTTAACTCAACTGATTATTATTTCATCTCATATCATTTTTTCTCAGTAGATGAGGAGAAGTTCCTGCCTCTTCCTAATTTGAAAAAGTTACTGAACTTAAGGTTGAGAAAGAAGCCGATGGAAAGGCACGGAGCTATCTAAAAGAGGTAGAGAAGGGAGTCAGCAGCGAGGAGCAGGGGCCACGCCCAACTCTTAAATTGACCCTACAGTAAGCCAAGTGGCCTGAGCATGCCACACTGCAGCAATGCTACGGCTCTCAGTATCTGCTATCTTTACACCTATCTTCTTGAGTTTCTTCCCGTGATTTCAGAATTTTTCTCTGAGTCACAACCCAATGGACTTCTAATTAACCTGTCTTCTAAGCAACACTCTATTGCTAAGTAAGGTTTCATATGTTCATATATTGACCCTTAACTCGTTCTTCCTGAAGTTAAACAACCTGACTTCAGCAGGTCATAATTTTCCCTACACACCACACATCTTATATTGCAATGATCTTCTTGGTACATAAGATATACTCTAAACCCTAGGAAAGCTACATGCTTTACATATCTTAGCCCAGTTTTTATGCATTATTGGGAGACACATAACCTAGTGGCCAGTCCTATTCCAGGCAGAGTAGGCCCTCAAAAAATAGTTGTTAACAAAGAATTACTGAATGAACCATCAAGGAATGAATTCCCTCCATTCCTTGCCTCTGAGCATGTAACACAGGACATATAATTAGATTCTATGCAGAAACCACCTCCTTTAGACAGTCTTTCAAGGGAAAACACATTAAACTCGAGGAGGTAGAATACCACATATCATTAGCTTGGAACTAAAGTAGCTGTCCCAACCCCTGAAGCTCTGTCTTTTACCTATGTCTCAACCTCACCCCAGAATAGGCACGAACTAAAACATTATTACCAAACTCTATGTATCTTCTCCATTGTAATTTCCATTTCAGCAACTGTCAGGGCACAGCTTTTTCAGCAAAATTAAACCTTGCTTGAGAACAGAAGGATTCCCACTTATACACCTCCATCCCCTAATTTGATCTTTTACTGTAGTGAATTTCAATGGCTTAAAGTCAAGGCTATAAAAATTCCTTTAAGTGTTCATTTTTTTAAAATTGTCTACTTACATTCACTATTTATGTCATCCAATTAAGTATCTATAATAAACACCTTATCTATTAATCAGCCATTTTTTCACCTGAAGGATTTTCAGTAAAAGTTTTGTGTAATAAAACCCTAAGTATCAACCAGCTTAAAACAAATAGAATTCTCAAGCCATACATTTTGATTCCACTCAATTTTACAATGTGTTCTCTGACAGGAATACTAAGGTCACTGAGAAGCTGACCCATCAGAAATCACAACATAAAAACAAAATACTCAACTAAAGGAAATCTTTCAAAATTTTCACATAGAAAAATCATTCTAAGAACATTCATGTTTATGATTTTTATAGACCAAGTGACAAAATATAACATCTTAAAGGAAAATCTGAATTTATCGACAATGGTTGATTCTAAATATTAATGCTATAAAAGTCAAAGGTAGTTGGGGTGTGGGGGGGACTCAATAATATGGGTGAATGTAGCAACGACATTGTTTTTCTTGTGAAACCTTCATAGAAATGTCTACCAATGATACCTTAAAAAAAAAAGTCAAAGGTAGTTACTAAAACAAACAGAAGTTAACCTGTCCTAGATAGAGCTCTCTAGAAAAACACCTGAAAAGATCAGCTAACACGTTATGAGTAAAAATAAGAAGGCATCAAACACCATTAAAATGGCATAAAGTTTGTTCAATTTCATCAAGTTAAAAATAGGTCACAGAATGAGCTTTAGAAAAACAAAACGGGGTAAAGTCAATATCACAAAGTGATTAAAGAGATGGAAGAGAACTTTCTTCTAAGTCATTAAACTCACCAATATTATACTGAACTCCGGAGCACTTACTATTTTCCTGTGCCATTAGAGAATTTAGTAGGTTCACTGAATTGACTGACTTCTTTGTTTATCTATTTACATGGGTTAAGACCCTGACTGACATAAAACACAACCAAAAAACCCCAGACAGAGAGTGTAATGAAAGACTGGGTGATGTATAGTTTGGGGTACAGCCTTTCCAATAAATGTGCTTGCCCAGCAAAGAACACATTGGCAAAGATTTATTATCGGAACAAATATGTTCTGAAAAGATCTAGTACAACAAAACTTGCCGTATAAATACAAACTATGCTAAAAAACAGTCCTTTGCCTTACATAATGTATAGCTTACTTTTCTATGATATTAAAATTCTCTTCATATTTTTCATCCAAGAAAATTTTGAATAAGTAAAACCAAAGAGTATAGCATACAGAATGGCACTACTAGTAGTTCTTGGTTTCATACGGAAGAAAAGTTTACTACTTAGGTTCGACAACCTTTAAAACATATATAAAAAGAAGGAAACATTTCTAGGAAATGGATTATGAGGGAAAAAATAAAAATGAATCACCTACTAGAATAATAAATTATTATGTTTTAATTATATGAAATACATTAATACCAATTTAGTATAAGTTATAGCTAGACATAGAAATGATTTTAAATGTTATACCTCCAAGTTCTTTTACATTCAAGATGGCATTCTGGAATGGCACTGCTTTTATACTAAAACCTAAAATTAGAAAACAAAAAACATAAAGAATTAGCAACTTAACTTTAAAAAATACATAAGAGGCTCAAATCCTTTTCCTTAGGCAGATTGAGTTACTTTTCATAGTCATATTTACACTAGAAACACATAATTTCCCAGATAAATTGATAACACAATTTTTCAAAATGGTTGCTTATGCTTATTATAGCAAAATATAACCCTTTTGTTCAAAATATTGCCTTATAATTTAATACATAATGTTACTTTGTATATTTCTTCAATTGTAAGAAAGACATTTAGTAGTATAGGAAAATTTCAAAGAAAATATTAAATTTACTGGGACCTTTGCATCTAATTTCTGAAGTTAATTTTCTCTCACATATAACCCAGTAAATTTAGAGATTAAGGTATCAAAATTATAACCATCTTGTTAGAAACACATAGTATTTATGTTAGTATTTTAAGGACATGGTTAATGTCATACATATATTTTTCTTACAAGTTCAATCATTTATTTATGCACAGGCAACTGTTTTATAATGCATATAGTAAATTATTTCTACTACAAAAATATATTCCGTGTGTATTTTTTTATTAACCAGGTATGGAGGACTTGACTATTACCATTCAAGTCCTGATTGACTTAAACAAAGTAGATTCATAGGTTTCAGTATACAAGTATATCAGCTGCAAAATGTGAGTGTGCACATACCTACCTACTTGCACACATACAAACACACAAACTGTTTCTGAAAGGATCAACAAGAAATTGGAAGTAGTAATGAGTCTTGGGAGAATTGGGGATCTACAGGACTTAAATAAAGAGATTTTTGTTTCATTTGAACATTCTGCCATATATAAGTACTACTTTCAGTTAAAAGCCTTACTAATTTTTAAAAATTTATTCACTAACTTCTGAGCACTCAACTGATTTAAGGTTTTAAACATTATTTACTATGTACATTTATAAGACATATAAAATACGATCCCTTTTTCAAGAAATTACCAACCAAGTAAAAGATAAGACATAGAAATACTTTTCATTTTAAGGAAGCTATGGTAAGTGCTTGGAAAGATAAAAAGATACAAAGTATGTGGATAAGAACAATTCTTTTACACAGTCTTGAAAGGAATCTATATGCACTTTCTTATATTCCACTCTATTATTACCAATACTTTGTTGTAGGTTGTCCTAGAGCTTTAAGATTCCACATATTTATTGCCTTCCACTTAAGGCCATGAATATCATGTAATGGTTAAAAAGTGACTTTGGAGTCAGACAGAATTAGGTTAAGTAAGCTCTGTGACTGTCGGCAACTTACCAGCCTTACCTTTACCATCTGTAAAATGGGAATGATAGTATCTACCTCACAGAGTTGTTATAGTGATGAGATAAGGTATATATTACGTTTATCACAGTACCTGGCACAAACAAGCATATGATATATGATTGGTGGCATTATATTTCGATCAATGGTGTGTTTGTTGATTTAATTATTAGGTATTCATATATTCTGCTTGCCTGAATAGATTACAGACTCATAGGACAGAAATCCCCAATGTTTATTTATTAATCTAAGCAATTAATTAGTTGGAGCTGTAAGGGTTCCCACTGAATGAAAAGTACCTTTGTTGGAGTTATGGAAGTGCGAACGGCTGAAATTTGCTGTACAGAATGTAAATGTTCATTGGGCTCTCTAAGAATCTTCCAAACATATCCTTCCTGTGTGGGTTTAACGCAGATTGCCACAGTTAGCATAGCAATATGGTTAATGGTGCAAGCTGTCACTGAACCTCAGTACAACAGCAGGAGGAATGTGGAGGCAGACCCCCATGTGGCTCAATCAATGGCATGTACCTGTGCCGGCAGGAAAGCCTTTCCAGGTGTCTGGCCTCTGGGAAATGAAGGAAAGACAATGCCAATCACAGTATTCCTGCTGGCACCACAATTTGCCTGCAGGAGACTTAGACGTTTGAATGTATCTACCTACCTCATAAGGGTGTTATATGAATTGAGAAATCCTGAAAACAAAAAGCCCTACGTAAGCAGTCTATTAGCGGTTATGTTCAGGACAACTCAATGATGGATTTTTCCAGAGAAATGGTATAGGCCCCAACTTTGAAAAAGACATAGTTAATGGAGCACACCAGCAATGTTTAATCTGCTTTGATTCTAAAAAGCTGACAATAAGCAGGCACCCAAAGGAAAGTAATACGTTTCCAAAAATTGCTGCCCATATGCAAAACACAACTTTTGAAATTTATTAATCCAATAGGCAAATTATATTACTGTTACCATCTTTCATCCTTGCACAGACATCATAATAAATTGACTATAAAAATGTCCTCAAATGCTCACGTTAAGCAAAGTAACCTAGCAATGTTATTTATAGGCATATAAATGTTTCTGCAAAATACTCATAAATGTTGTCTCTCCAAATAGAACATGTGTGGCTAGATTTATACTACAAAGGAATATACGTTCTTCCATTTTGCTGTCTTCATATTATTTTTACAGTGTAGTTCAGTAGTTAATGTTCATAGGATGAAGTCTAGATAACCAGTCTAGAAAATAAGAAAATGCACTATTCATGGTAAAGAAATAGTATTTTTCTATTTTAGTCACTCTGAATGTTTGCAAGGATTAAGAAGAATTAAAATTCAAAGCCTCACCTTCAGTTGATGAGAAGGGCAAGCAAGAAGGGCAACTATTAGATCAATATTTTATTCCTTTACATTGAGTTGGATGAAGTCAAGGGGGCAAATTAATATTATATTTTAGTAGGGATACAAAGGTCAAACCACCAAAATTTCTTTCCAAAAAGGCTGCTTTGAGGAATAAAAACCACTGGAGAGCATGGGCTCTAGAGCAAGAATATCCAGGTTCAGATTTTGGCCCTACCATTTAGTAACTGTTTGACTTAAGCAAGTTACTTAATTCCTCTGTGTATCAGTTTCTTTATCTACAAATGAGATTAGATGGCAGTCAGTGCTAAAAAGTGCTTATTTAAAAATAAATAAAACTAAAAATCCAGTACACTAATGGTCACCAAATGACTATTGGAAACTTAAAATTTCTCCCAGTGAAAACCACGTGGGGGCCCAGGTTCTGGTATATTATGGTAAAAATAAGAGTTGTAGAAGCAATCAAAAACACTTAATTGAGTATGTCTATAGACTAAATATTTGGGTTCTCTCTTAGCACCTTCTTTCCCTCTTTCCCAAACCCAATCAATCATCAAAGCCTGTCAACCCCATCCCCTAAATCGTTTCCAAATATGTCCACTTCCCTCCATTCAAAGTGCAGAGCTCTGGTCAAAAGCCACCACTATCACCATCTGAACAACTTCAGGGGCCTCCTAACCAAACTCTTTGCATCTGCTCCAGCCTCCTCAATCATCTCCACACATTAGCAGAAGTGATCTTCCTGAAATGCACATCTGTTCACAACATTCCCCTATGTAAAACTTTCTGATAGCTTCTCACTACTCAGGATATAGTTCAAAACACCTAACAAGATCCTACCTAAACTGGTTCCTCTCTCTTTCTCCAGGTTTATTTTGTGCCATCTCTCCCTCATTTACATCCTTCAGTTCCTGAAACAAGCTATATTGCTTCCATCTCGGGGTCTCTCCACACACTGCCCCATCAGTGTTCTTGGCCCCTCTGGGAAAGCTGTCATCCTTCAGGTGGTATTTTCACTTCACTTCACCAGGCAAGCTTTTCATGGTATTCTTGAAATAGGTTGATTTTTTTTTGGATTCATGTTCTCTTATATGACCTTCACAGTTTTAATTACATATTGGTTTATTTATCTGTTTTACGTCTGTTCCACAGCTAGGCTACAAGGATCCATAATGGAGAAATAGTGTGTAGTGTATCCTATATGCCAAGGCTAAGCACATGATATATACCAATAACCAAAATCTGTGTTAAGGGTTTATATTTATTTCCTAATTTACCGTCACAACAATCCTAATGTTAAGGTTAGTTCTTCTGTCCCAGGAGCAGTGATGCCTAGAGTGCTTAGTAACTTGCCAAAAATATCAAGTGGTACATTCAAAATTCAAACTCAGATCTCATCACCAGAGCACTGCACGATAGCACCTCCTCTGCACACCAAGAAGTCGACAGATTCACAATATTTTGAGCCTAAATATTGGTGTAGCTTTTTAGAAAAAAACACTCATGCCTAACAAATGCACTAATTTATTTTACCTCCTAGTTATAAAAAAATCTAAGGCAAAGAACCACAAAGCAAGTGTTTTCAGGTCTACACTGTTACCTTATTAATGGAATAAAAGTAATGGCAAAAGTTTAGAAAGTACTTTTTTTATAAAGACATTAATAAAACTAGGAACTTAGGAGGGGAGGGGGAATGCCCAGCTGACTCGGCCATGAATTGTGCTTGCAACTCTGCTGCTTATTCACTAAATTAGTGTTTTCTGAGGTTCTCCACAGGGACTCAGTGTGCTGATGTGTCAAAGGCAGGGTCCTAGAAGTCCTCGGCACAGCTCTGAAGTTAACCAGTCACTTTTTCCCATGACCTAAATCCCTCATCTGCAACATAAACAGACTAGATTAGCTCCTTAACGTTTCCTCCAACAATAGAACTCCATCATTTATATTAAACAGAATGGAGGAAACAACAGTAACAACTGAGCCAATCATCAACGGCCTCTTGTATTTGGCTGAAGGCCTCAAGGGTAGGTCTCCCCAGGCTCCATCCCAACAATTCGATGCCTACAGCCTAAGTTCCATGGTCACTTTTTCCTGGCCTACCTAAACTATATTAGTAAGACTGAAACCTCCCCAAAGATTTAACCCCACAAATTTTAATAAATACATGATTTAGTAACTCTTTGGGGAAATAATTGTTTGCATAGACTTAACAGTTTTTGTCTTTTAGTCCTTAAATCCAACAAAACCTGTGATACCAGGGAGAGAGATTTGAAAGTTTTTTATGCAGGAGAAGCATTCCTGGAATTGTAACAAAATTAGTTTTGCAGGGGAGGCCAGTC